TATTGATTCATTGGAGGAATCTGGTACAGACTCACAAAACTTTGCAGAGATTTCTAGGGCGTGTTCAGAGTCACCTCACCCACTACACTTTGGACTCTGAGCAGTCACAGCTAAAATAACACTCAGGTTATTTAGGCATCGTTATTCCCCTTTTAATCTTAGGAACCCGACTGAGCTTCAAGAAAAATCCAGCTTTTCCAGGGCAATACAGCTTGATTACAGTCCCAGTAACAGAATACACTGGACAGTTTCTTTGTTTTCTTGTCTGACTTAAAGCTTATTATTAACATGTTATCTAAGTTCTGTCAGTATCAAGTTTGCATCTTAAGGCTTCTGCCTATAAGTCAAAATTATCTGTGATTTGGTATCTTTTTTCCTTTGTAAAATGGAGCCAAAATGTTCATGCATGAACTTAATTGAACAGAATTGAGAGTTGAAAAATAAACGTTTGTCATCATCTAAGCTGAGCTGTACTTTGCCTTATATCTCTACTTGCATGTGTATTCTTGTTTTACAGATGAGTAAGCAGAAATGGAGAACCAGACTGATTCATTAGTCTTTCTTTTGCTTGGACTTTCCAGTCATCCTCAGCTACAGATCTGGCTCTTCCTGATCTTCTCAATTGTTTTTCTAATTACACTGTCAGGAAACGTCACAATCATTTTGATCATAAGAATGGACCCTTCTCTCTCTGCACCCATGTATTATTTTCTGTCTCATTTGTCCTTTGTTGATATCTGTTACTCTACAGATGTTGTTCCTAAGATGTTAATGAATTTCCTGATGAAGGAAAAGACAATTTCCTTCACTGACTGTGTTATACAAATGTTTTTCAGTCTTCTACTAAGTGTTACAGAAGTTTTTCTACTTTCAGCAATGGCTTATGATAGGTACACTGCAGTGTGTCACCCACTTCATTACATAATGATCATGAATAAAGCAATATGCAGTTACCTGGTTTTGGGAGCATGGCTAATGGGCTTGTTGTTTGCAACCATAAACACAGTGCCCACATTTGGCTTACAGTTTTGTGGCCTTCATGAAATTAATCACTTCAGCTGTGAACTTCCACCATTATTGAAAGCGTCTTGTTCTGACACTTTTCTTAATAATTGGATTCTTTTATCTTCTGTATTGGTTTTTGGACTTGGTTCCTTCTTACCAACGTTGGTCTCCTACATTCACATCATCACCAGCATCA